AGGACCCTTTCAAAGATTTTTATGAAAAGGGATGTTAGTGCTATTGGTCTGTAGTTCTTTGCTGTTGCTTTAACTCCCCCCTTTGTGGAGTGGGCTATGTCTGTTGTTTTTTAGTAACTGGGGGACGACCCCCGTGTCCATGCTCCCTCTCCATAGGATGGAAAAGGCTCGTGATAGGGGCTTCTTGCAGTTCTTGATAAACCCACAGAGTTTCCATGAGTCTGGCCCTGGGGCAGAGTGCAGGGGCATGTCATTTATCGCCTGTTCGAAGTCATTTGGCGTCAGATAACATCGGTTTAGGCTTGTGTTAATCAAATTTTGTGGCTCTCTCATAAAAATTCATTTGATCTTCGACTCTCAGTCTGGTTAGCGGCTTCTAAAAACTGAGTCATATTGGGACTTGAGTAGCTCACTCATTTCCGTTGTCATCTGTGTAGGACCCATCTTGTTTAAGTGGGGGCCCCAAAATACTGGACGTTTGTTCTCGATTTTGATTTGGCATAGAGAAGAAATACTTGGGTTTCTTTCGATTTCATTTATGGCTTTTAGTTCTTCCCGCGATTCCTGACTCCTAAAGGATTCTTTTAGCTTAAGTTCGATGCTTGCTATTTCTCTGACCAGTGTCTCCCTACGCATTTCGATATATTGACCTCTTTTAGCCGCTCTGTTATTCTTTTTCCTTTCGCCTGTAAAGGGGCGCCTGCCCTCTTTCTGTTTTACATCTACTCCTCCTTTTTCTTGAGGAATAAGCCTTGTGCATACATCGAGTGCTACCGAGTTAATCTGTTCTAGGCATAATTTGGGGTCTGTGTTGCTTAGTATATCTTCCCAGCTTATATCGGTTGGGACTTGGTTTACTTGGTCCCCCCTTTATGTTTTTGTTATTGAAGTTGAATTTGGTGAATGCTCCCTCGTGACAAAATCTCATTATGTCGGTCTGGGGCCCCGCATACATGACTGAACCTCAATTATGTTTTTGATCTGAGTATATTGTTTTTGGGTATGGTGATATTTCTTACAGATCATCATTGTTAGTGAAGATGAGGTCTAGTGTATTCTCCAGTCTAGTAGGCTCTATTATTTGCTGGTTTTTAAAATTTAATTTTGTGCAGAGATTTAAAAGCTCGCGTGAGTGTGAGTTTTCATCAGAGCTGCCTCCTGGTGTTATTACTGCAACAATATTATTTGCTATATTCCTCCATTTTAGGTGCCTTAAGTTGAAATCCCCCAGAGCAAGATGTTGGGTGCAGGAGCTGGAAGGTTTTCCAGACAGTGGTCAATTTTTAACAGCTTTTTCCTGGAATTGCTGGATGTTGCATCCGGAGGCTTTTAGACTATCACAATGACTAGGTTTTGGTTCTCGACCTTTACTGGGTAAAACTTCCACTACATCATTTGAGGCATTTAGCAGTTCTGTGCAAACAAGTGACTCTGCAATGTACAGGCCAACCCCCCCCTTTTGCTGTTCACTCTGTCACATCTATATAGGTTTGTAACCTGGGATCCATATTTCGTTGTCCAAGTGATCCTTATGGGGTCTCAGTGAAAAACCGCGAACATTGCCTTTGCCTCTGCAAGCAGTCCACGGAGAAAGGGATTTTGTTGTTTGTTGCTGGCTTTAGACCCTGTATATTTGCAAAGAAGAATGTTTTTCGACTGGGGGTATTGTTGGGACTGGGGGGGGGGATTTTTTTTCCGGCATTAGTATCTGTATCTGTTGGTTTGGAGTGGAGGCCATCGACTGTGGGTTTCCCCTCCAGGAAAGATGGAATTTGGTGTACGATTTCTGCCATTTCCTGCCAGTTTTTTTTCCTTCCTGGCCCCTAAAAAACCTCTCCCTCTTGAGTGACTGTGGGCTACCCAGGTTTTCCCCATGGCCTGGATGTTTTGTATTTTTTGTCCCTTTAGATGGTATGCCTGGCAATTTAAGTTATAGCACAGTCTTTCCTATACTGAAGAGGTACACAGTTTAGGGTGAAAAAGCTTACAGGAAGGGAGTTTGCATTTTCCTGTTTTCATATGGGCATGACATTTCCTAGGGTGGTCATAGTTGCACGTCCCATCTGTTTTTCCAGATTTCCCATGCCAGCAGATACCGAGTGCATAGTATGTGCACAGGCTTGGTTTCCGTTTGCCTTGGGTTTCTGTGACTGTATTCCTGTTGGTGCATGTTTCCCTGTCTTACTTCTATCTCCCTAGCACCAACAATGGAGCTCCCACCATTTGTTTTTGGTAATATATCCTCACTATTGCTAGTGGAGTCCTCTTGTTTGCTATTTCCTGCGGTATTTCTAGTTTGCAATATTGGTTTTATCTTATCTTTGACTACACTTGTTTCCCTACTATGGCTCCTGTCCCTATGCGGTCATTCATATGTATTCCTTCCTGCGTATAATTCCCGACTACCTGGACAAAATCTCCAGCTTCACCATTACTGTCTTCCCAGGACAGCATCTCTCAGCTTCCCCATTACTGTCTCCCAGGACAGCATCTCCAGCTTCACCATTACTGTCTCCCAGGACAGTCACTCCAGCTTCACCATTACTGTCTCCCAGGACAGCACCTCCAGCTTCCCCATTACTGTCTCCCAGGACAGCACTATCAGCCCCCCATTTACTGACTACCAGGACATCATCCAGCCTTACAGTTTCTGACTACAATGGCCAGTATCAAGGGCAGTACCATTCAGCCCGGACTTTTTTTGTTCCCATCTGTTGTAGAAAGCTTCCAGGTTTTCTATGAAAGCAGCTTTGATGTTGACCTCTTTTTAATACCCTTGTGATTTTAGTCCACAGATTTATCTCATTTGGGCATACCCAAAAACACTTCCCTGTTTTAATACTGCTTGTAGCTAGTTCTTGGATATCTGCACAAGGGGCGTGACACCAATTACCACAGAAATGACAATTTATGCATGTGGAAGCCGTTTGTTTGACTGACCACAGACTACACACTGCTTCATAGTGATTTGAATGGTTTATTTACTGCAATTCTACTAGCAACCTCTTGAATATTCTATTAATAACCTGCTAGGTGGTGCACAACGAAAACCGTTTGAAACCAGTCCAGGGTTCGGACCAGTCAAGGGTTGGACCAGTCAAGGGTTCGACCAGTCAAGGGTTCGGACCAGTCTATCTGATCTGATCAGTGGGTCACTTATTTAAACCATACTGGTCGGTGATTTGAGCTAAACCATGAAGGATCTACTGGAAATTATCTACCCGAGTAATATGTGATTTGATTGATACAAAAGTATAACTTGCGTGTTGAAGAGCCTGGTGACTGCTGGCACTCCTACAATGACGAACGGTCGTGCCGCCACTTTGTTTATCAATCGCTGTATCTAGCTTCTCCTATTTTTTTTTTTGCCGTCTCCACCACAATAAATGCTATATTATCACTATAGTTGACTGGTGGCAAAATTTGGAAGGTAAGGGCGCTTTTTAATTGTCCATTCTCGGCCATAGAAGTTGGTCCCAGTTGTCAAGGAATGGTACTGCATTATCCTTCAGTGTTTTATCCAGCCAACATTAATACCAATTGCTTCTGGCAACCATTCATTGTACCGAACGCACATCTTCTTGGAATTGCAAATATAACGAGGGGTGGCGCCCCGTCGTTGCGCTCGTGAGTGCGCCTGAGTAAGTCGTATAGCTGTGTCCTGAACTTTCTAACTTAAATCCTCACTTCTACTCTTGCCTATCATCATTGCCTCCAGCAACTGAGGCATTATAATAGGATGATCCCATTACCGTTAATGTGTTGTCAAGCCGGCTAACAATGTCCTCCATCCACCAGCCCAGGAAAGCATACCCTTGTTCCTACTCCTGTCCTTCAGCTCAGAATGCCTTTTCCATGTAACCTAACCTGGTTATCCCCAACACAAAAATATTCTTACCCTTCCTTGTTGGTCGTTCGTCGTGGACGATCCCAGTAGTAGCCACATTCGTCGGGTAGCAACCGAGAATGCGTTGGTGGTTTCACGGGAGATTTCCACAGAGTCTCTTTCTTCTTCTGCGTTTTCTGCTTTCCATTCGTCTTCTGTCGTTCAACTTGTCGTCCCTGCTTGTCCAGCCACTGACCAGATCCTTCTTGACTGAAGGACTCGAAAAGGAGGGACTCCTACGAATCATCTTGTTTTCTCGGTCAATCGCCGTTATCTCATCCTTCGCTGCCGAGTCAATTTACATCCCTTAAGTTGCTGGTTAAAGTTGCTCGATGGAGGGGATCTTGGTTCAGTCCACGGCGAGCCAAAACAAGGACACTTCTTAAAGGTCAGCACTTAACAGTACAGGGTCACCACTCAAGAGCACACAATCAGGTCTTCACGATGAGCACACAATCATTGTCTTTCGCGAGAGCTCTCATATCAATTATTGTATTACTTTCATGGTCGCTACACTACTACTACGACTATTACTACCACTAGTGAACATCGAAATGGTACCTCACTAGTATTCACCTCACTCTGAGCCTTTATATACCCTCTGTGTCCATGTATTGTTTGTAATGGCTTGATAAAGCTCCTGGAGAGCGAAACGTTGCCACAATAAATGTCACATTAGTTGCACTTGTGTCCTTTTACTTTACATTGCTGTCTTGGTTTAAGGTTGTTAGGTAAGACACATACGCAACAGTCAGACAACCCTACTCCGAAACGCCTCGCCCACACAGCAGGCCTCCCCAGTCAAACACAGAAAGCAGGCAGGAACAGCAGAGATGTGAAGACGATGCAATCAGGCCTCCTGCAGTGCTCCTCCTTTCTTATGTTCTGCCTAGTAGGGTGATCGAAGCTAAAACATTGGGTAGTTTCAAATTTAGGTTGGATAAATACACGAGTGAAAGAAGTTGGATTTGAGTCGGACTTGCACCTGAGTTTATTGCTTGGTAGCATTTGTGCTGTTTTAGTGGATGGTTTTGTGAAAGGAACGGCCTAGTATGGGCCAGCAGGCCCTGTTCCAATGTTCTAATTTTAAGTTCTTATTTATCATCACACTTACCAGTAAGGTGATCGAGGCTAGGACCTTGGGTAGCTTCAAGAAGAGATTGGACAAATATATGAGTTGGAGGAGCTGAGTTTGATTTGTGTCATTGGGTACGGGAGTAAATTCTTGGGTAGCTTTGGCGGGTGGAGGTCATTTGAAGGGACCTGCCTTGTTGTTTTTTAGATAGGCCAGTAGACCTGCAGTTGTTCTTCCATGTTTATGTTCTTATTGGCTATTTGTTGTCGTGAAGGAGGGATGGCAAGATATTGTTGGAGGAATATGACACTATAAATGATTTATTTATTTATTTATTTTAAAAATTTGTGACAACAGAGTACAAAAAATTCAGAAAAACGAGCAGTATGCCAAAAGCCACTTATACTACTGCATAGCATTACGGGCTGGCTTAAAATTAACTTAAGATGAAACTAAGCTGATGACATCGGTGATAAAACTTTAATGTAAAGAGATTACTTTAAAGCACAAAGTGAGTATTACAAAAGACAGGTTTTTCAATATGGTTGTTGCATTGTTGTACATTCAGTAGAATGGAGTATTCTGTTAGGTAGTGTATTTAAAAAATAATAAAGTTAGATTGGGTTTTAGGTTTAACTTTATGTGATATAATTGTGAAGAAACATTTAAGATATACAATTTATAAGGTTCAGTATTCAGTATTTATTTGGTTTTGGGTGAGTCAAGTGATCTTTGAGAGAGACTTGATTTTATTAACAGGTAGTGTTTCTTTTATATTTTACGGTATATGAGTTCCAGATATTTAGGGCCTTTTATGTGCATTGAGTTTTTGCATAGTGTGAGATGGACACGAGGAACATCAAAGAGTGATACTGTGCCTGTGTTATGGTCTGTGTTCTGTTGAGGTTGGCAGGGGGGGACAAGGAGATGTTTGAGTGGAGGTTATCATATCAGAGTTTAAGTGTTCTATGTATGTAATAGGTGCGTAATAATTATGAATGTTTTGTATGGTGAATAGGTTTAGTGTATTGAATTTTTGGTGGAGTGTGCTCCCTTTTGTGGAATTTGTTATCATTTAACTGCAGCCTTTGTTGGGTAATTGGGGTCTGAGTGGTTATTGTTGTTGGCCCCCCATGACAAATTCCTAGGTGAGTGGGGTAAAAAAGAGAGTGTATAGGGCCGGGAGGGTGATGTGGAGCATAGTACCGTATCTTCGATGTATGCTACAGTTTTGGGAAAAATTTTCTTAGAAATTTTTTGTAATGTGTATGAAATTTGAGCTATTATCAAGGTGGTTTCCCTAAGTTTTTTCCCTCTGTTAGTTTTGTGATAGGTATCCGTTTATCATTATGTTAAAGGGGGGCATCTGTATTGTTACCAAACTGAATGAAGTAGGTTTTGTCAATGTTTGTGTAGTTTGTTAGTCCTATCCGGTAGTATTTTCTGAATTCTGTATTTACAGTATTGGCTAGCGTGCTGGGCTCGGGTGGGAGAAGGGGGAAAGTGTCATCTGAAAAATGTGTGGGTTTGAGTAAATTGCGAAGCTTTTGGTAGGATTTATGTATAGGAGAAAGAGAAGGGGGCCCCAAGGCCTTCCTGTGGGACCCCAACTGAAAGGGGTTATTTTTCTTCACAATTCAACTAAATTGACAAAAATAAAATTTAATAACACAGAACATGGAATATATTGAATGAATAAAAAAAGTATTACGTATGTAAAAGAGGGGTTTTTGTGTTGTGTTGTTGTGGGTTTATAAGGGCCATGAGTGTAAGCCGTCCATAATGGTGGTGAGGCGGGGTGGTTTTTGTTGCCTTATTAACTCCAAAAACTTGGGGGGTACACAAATAACCCGCACATAAAAGACAGAAGCTTAACGCGTTTCGCTCCGACTTGGCCCTTTGAAAAGTCAACTAACGAGGTGGAGCAGGACGGCAAATATAGGCAAAAAGGGGGGGGAGGTATTTGGGTAGTGTAGTGTAGTACAAGAATTGTATATAATAACGGATAAAATGACACTGCACAACCCCGGGGGCATCCCCCCCCGAGAGTTTCCCCATCCCCCACCCACTGGATGGCGAAACGTCCAAAACAAAAACCCCAGACGCCGCACATGTGTCTAATTTCATCAGTGAGAGTTGAAAAAGAAGGGTGTAGTAGTGGTGGGGTAGAAGTGGGAAAAAAGGAAGACGGGCAGTAAAATACAAAGGAAGGGGAGCCTGAAAGGGAGCTAGAAACCACAGAGGGAAGAAGGGCGCACCGGGTGCGTGAAAGGGGAAGTGGTGAAAAAAAAAATAAAGAAGGACAGAAACAGAGACAGGAGGAAAAAGACAACCCAGAGGGGGAAAAGGGAGGAGGAAAGGGGAAGAGGAAAAAGAAAAAGAAGAAGGAGAAGAAAAAATGAGGATTCAGGTTAAGTCACGGGTGTTCTTTAGTTGGGCATTTTCAATGTGGGGGGAGGGAAGGCTCTACAGAGCAAGCCAGGGAAAGGGTTTCATAAAAGGAAAGTTGTGTAAAAAGAGGGATTCAACTAAACGGCGGTTTTGATTGGAAGTGGGAAGACAGTTTTAGAGAAAGACCAGTAAATGGGATGGCTATGATCTCTGACGTGACAGAAAAGGCATTGTTAGTGTCGGCAAGCCTAACACTATTTTTGTGCTCCTAGTCTGTCAGAAAGAGATCGACCAGTTTCTCCAAAGATTGAAAGCGGAGGGGGCGGGAAAGAGGGGGGGGATGAAATTTTCTTGACAGGGGAAGTATGTAGGAAAATGTGAATGTACATGCCACTGTGTAGGTTTACGGTAACGGAAAAGGAAAAAAAAATGTATCTAGCGGTGGACATGGACAAAGGGGAAAGGAAGTAAGGAATTGATTCCATTCAGCTTTAAACTTAATGGAAAGGGGCAAGATTGTTAAGAGTTCAAAAAAGGTTGGAAGAGACTGGAGTCTGGGGCCACAGAGCAAAGATGTCATCCACATAGCGGAGCCGAGTGAAGGTTGCACATGAGGGGAGGAAGAAAAAACAGTTTGAAAATATTCCCTGTAAAGATTAGCAAAGGCAGGAGAGAGGGAGGCCCATAGCGACCGAAAGGGTTTTGGGAATTATTTTCCCTTTGGGAAGGAAAAGGGGGTTGAGTCCACACAGAGGGGATCAGATAAGAAAGACATCGTGGGGATAGGGGATGAAAAAAACCCTTCATGGGCCTTCTCTTTAAGGGAAAAACAAGGAACATCAAGGGGACATGGTGAAGGGGACTAAGTCAAGAAAGCATCTTCAGGTTGGGAGGGAGACGAACCCGTTCAATGAAAATTTGAGAGTGACGGGGTGGGCGGAGAAAAAATACCAAGAAGGGGGAAAAATGAGGGTTTTGGCCCGCAAGAAGCAAGAGAATAAGGGGACAGAACTCTAGAGGATTGTGGCGGAGAGGAATATAGGTTTTTGAGTTTTTAAATGAAAGGGAATTTTAAATTTCCCTTTTTCCATTCCCGTGTCCATGTTTCCACCGCTCAGATACAGGTTTTTCCTTTTCCGTTTACGTAAACCCTATGCACATGGATGTACTTCATATTTTCTATATATTCCCCCTGTCAAAAAAAGTGTTCTTTCTCCCCCTTTTCCCCTGCCCCCCGCATCTTGGGGATCCTCAGTTCCCTTTCCAGCAGAAAAATTTTCCCTCTTTATAATTGTTTCCCCTCTTGGTACCTTCCCCTTTATAGGCTTGCCCTCTCACGTGCTAAAGCAAATTTTTTCCTCCCCAAAATTTTACTCATGGGAATTTCTATCCTCTGCCTTCCCTACATTTCGGTCTTTTAATTCCCCAAAATTCTTCGTCCCCTTTGACATCAAGCTTACCTTCCGCCAGACTAACACCTTCGCCTAAATTGTTTACCTTCCTCCCCCTTCGTGTTCTGGTGTTACTCTATTTCTTGCTTCCTGTCCCTTCAATACTTTTGGGGAAATGGTCGATCTCTTTTTGACGATTAGGGAGCACAAAAAAAGTGTTAGGCTGCCGAACTAAAAAAAATGCTCTTTTCTGTCACGTGAGATCATAGCCATCCTATGACTGGTCTTTCTAAAAAAGTCTTCCCCCTTCCAAATCGAACTGCCCTTTAGTTTAATCCTTCTTAACACAACTTTCCTTTTAGAAACCCTTTGCCTGGCTTGTCTTGTGAGCCTTTCCCCCCCCTACATTGTAAAATGCTCCCAACTTTAGAACACCCCTGACTTAACCTGAATCTCATTTTTTCTTCTTCTTCTTTTTTTCTTTTCTTCCCTTTCCTCTCTCCTTTTCTCCTTTGGGTTGTCTTTCTCTCTTGTCCGTTTTTTTGTTCCCTTTTTTATTTTTTTCACCACTTTCCCCCTTTTACGCATCGGGGCGCTTTCTTCCCCCCGGGGTTTTAGCTTCTTGCGGCCCCCTCCCTTTGCTTTGTTTGGGTGTTTCCTTTTTTCCCCCTTTTACCCCTACTACTACCCCTTTTCTATACAATACTGAGAAATTTGACCTGTGCGGCGTTCTGGGTCTTTTTTGTGGCGTTTTTGCCATCCAAATGGGTGGCTGGATGGCGAAAGTCACGGTGGGATGCCGGGGGTGTTGTGCGTGTGGGCTTTTCCCTGTGGTATTATATACAATTTTTTGTATTACTACTATACTATATACTACACTATATACCACTATACTCCTCCCCTCTTCCTGCCTATTATAGCCGTCCTGCTCCTCCTCTGTTAGTGTGACTTTGTCAATGGTCCAAGTCGGACCGAAACGTCATCGTAAGCTTCTGTCTTTTATGTGCGGGTTATTTGTGTATCGTTCCAGTCACGGTATTGTGCCTTTTTGTTATTTATAAACAAATGACGTCACCGTCCAGTACCTGTCCACCTGCCAGTACAGCACCTGTCCACCGTCCAGTACCTGTCCACCTGCCAGTACAGCACCTGTCCACCGTCCAGTACCTGTCCACCTGCCAGTACAGCACCTGTCCACCGTCCAGTACCTGTCCACCTGCCAGTACAGCACCTGTCCACCGTCCAGTACCTGTCCACCTGCCAGTACAGCACCTGTCCACCGTCCAGTACCTGTCCACCTGCCAGTACAGCACCTGTCCACCGTCCAGTACCTGTCCACCTGCCAGTACAGCACCTGTCCACCGTCCAGTACCTGTCCACCTGCCAGTACAGCACCTG